GTTTCTCTTTAGCTATTTTCCAAGTGATTTGATTTCCTCAATAGCATTAACTATATGGAGGACTAACAAGTTGTAATTAATGTATTCAGCCATTTTCTTTTGTGACAGGCTGGAATGTGAGTGACAGCACGAAGGGAAGGAGCAGAATAGAGCTGGATGCTCGAGAAGATTATCATAACATAAAAACTGACAACTCTCTGGCTCTTGAATAACATATTGTATTACACTGAAAAGGGAGGAAAAAGCTATTTCACAAAAAAGCCCAACGTGGCTTAGAAATTTTTTGAGGAGGGGAAAGATTTTTCAAAAGCCTTTTTAGTGTTGGACAGACTTGACTATTGCAGCTCACAAACAGTGTCTCACGTGCTGCAGTGTGGGTACAGTGCAGTTCATGTGCAGGGGGGGGAAGGAGCTCTCCTGGAGCCCCTTGTTCCAGGGGGAACCATCCCTGGTTTGGCTGTGCCTGCCACAGGCACCTTCTGGCTGCAGGGGGAGGTTGGAACCAGCCCCTGTGGAGGGTGGGAGGGAGGAAAGAGGGCACAGAGCAGTGGGAAACAGCTCCCAGCTCATGGCTCAGAATCACAGAATCTTCTGAATGGGAAGGGACCCCCAAGGGCCATCAAAGTCCAGCACACAGGACACCCCAAGGACCCCACCATGTCCCTGGGAGTGTTGTCCAAAGCACAGGTAACTCCTAAGCTCAGCCCTGGGGGGGCTGGTTCCCATTTTAGCAGCTGGGGTTGCTCCCTGAGAAGATGCAGGGGATGATTGAGGAGCAGGGCTGGCTGCCTTGCCTCCCCCCTGCCATCCATCCACCACAAGGTCATCTCTGTGCTTGCCCCTTCATGTTTATTTCTGAGCCAATAAAATTCCCATTTGCTCTGGTACATTTTGTAATCCACAGCTTTCAGCCCAGAGATTGATTATCTGTATTCCTAGATAAAATCAAAGTGCAGTACTTTAAACAGATTTCCACTCAATTATTTCCCCCAGACAGCTTAAATGGTGCTGTGAAAGCCCAGATTAACTCAGGAGTGGCCGAGAGGTTCATTTGCCTGCTGGCATCGCTGCATTTCATTTCCAAAGCAATTTTAATGCTGGTTCCTTAATGTCCGTCCAACAGGGGGTAATATTTGATATTCACCCTGGAATCTGGGCACGGCATCTGAGCCAGGTGAATTTAAGGCAGTGAGAGGAACTCTGGATTCCAGAACAAACCAGTGAGTGTGACTTTACTGCACCCTGTGCCTGTGGGATGTGGTCACACAGCCTGGGCCAGAACTGTGTCCTTGGCTGAAGCCTCTCCCATTTTCCAGAATTCCCTGTGCTCTCTCCCCAGGCTGCTGCAGACCGAGGCTGTCACACTTACCTGGCTTTGGTCTGGGGATGATCCTTCCAGGCTCTTCCCATCCCATGGGAAATATGGCTGGAGAGCCAAGGCCTTGGTGAAAACCTGCAATTTTAAAATATGTTGAGTGAAAAGTAAAATATGGTTTTGAAGCAGAAATAGAGATTTCCTGGTGGGACCTGTTTTCTCTGTGTCCCTCACTGTGGGATGAGATTGTGTTCAAGGAGCTTCTTTTCACCAATTTAAATGTGTGGAAGTGAAATTCTTAAGGATATCAGGAAATAAAAATTAATTTCAAGGGGGTTGTTAGAAATTAGGATTGGAGGAGAATTTGTTATTAGCTCTTGTTCTAATATTTCAATTTGAGAGTGGAGAACATTTTTGCACAAGACTTTCTCAATAGAAATATAAATTTAATCCCAGCACAATTTGAAAACACATTAATTGTGAGTTATACAGCAGATGGAGGCTTTAAAACTGTATTATTTTGCTTGATTTATTGATGTCTCATTCAGAATTTTTTTTATTTGCCATTTTCTTCTGAGAACATTCAGTGTCACATTGATAAGTGTAAGATTGAAAATTGCTAAGAGAAAAAAATAGATATATTTAGCCTAAACCAGACATCTGAACTTTTTGATTCATCAGTGTGTTAACATTTTTTTTAGTCAGGCTTTTTTTTTTTTTTTTTTTCCCTTACAACACTTCTTGGAATGATCAGTGATTCAAAATATCTTTTCTTTACCCAGTTCTGCATGAAACCAGGGCACCATAAGTGAGTTCTTCAGTTCTGGGGAGGCAGTTTTGTAATCCAGAACATTGAGATGCTGGTCAGGGCAAGACAGATCCTCCATCCCTTTCTTGTGATATTGAAGTGTAAATTGAAACTGTGGCAACAGACTCCAGTCTCAGTGATAAGAAATTGCAGGTGTGTATAGTATGGGATGGATTCGTGCTCACAAACAGATCACAGGTGGATTAGAGAAATAATTGGCAAAGGAACCCATGGCCAGACTCTCCCTGCAGCCAGTCCCACCCAGTTCCACTGTCAGTGAATTATTGCAGCTGTTCTGACGTGTGGTACCACTGAGATGGGGAGACTCCAGAAGTTATAATGGCACCAAAAGAGCTGCTAAAATGTGAGTCACGATGGAGACCAGCCAAAAAGACGTTATGATGCAGGATGATGACGTGTCTCCTTGGGGGGTGTCTTCCTCTGGAGCTGTGCCCCGTTCCCTCTGTTCCCTGGAGTGCAGGAGCACAGGTTGGAGCACACTCTGAATGGCAGCATGTGGAATAACTGCAGGATTTTGCAATCTCTGTTAAAGCAGCTGCATCTGTAACTCATTTCATGGAAGTTTTACTACTTTTTTTTTTCCCTTTTACCATATCATACTTGAAGCTCAATAAAGATAAACTTCAGATAATGTCAGTATATCACGGCAGATTCAAAGCCCTGCAGCCGAGCCCGTATTCCCCAAAGTGCTGTTTATGAGCTCTGCTGTTTTAATGTAGTGGTAGAAGTAAAACCAAACATTTGGCAGTGTCTATATTTGCACCCTTGGGACAGATGATGGAGGAGTTATTTGCTCCAGCCTTTAATCAATTTTAGGTAAGCAGCACGAGTGTACCTTGAGCATCCATATTTTCTAATTGGCTCTCTTAAATGTGAAGCCTCCCATAATTCAGCGGAGAGATTTACAGAGGAGGGGAGAGGGGGAGCAAGCAGCACTCACCAGTTGGTGCTGTGATGGATGTGCTCCAGCAGTGCCAGTGGCAGGGGGGAGTCGTGCTCTGCAGCTCATTTGCAGATCAAAATGCAAACCAGGGGTGAGTTCCTGTCGCTGGTTGATTCCTGGCGCTGCAGATCCGTCTGTGCCGGCAGCGGGGATGCACCAGCAATGCTAATCCTTGAGGGGCTCAGCCAGGCTGCTCAGCTGGGCCAGGGGGAGTCTCTGGGCCAGTTTGTGTTATTTGTACAAGGACTTCTCGCAGGGTTCAACCTGCTCTGTGCACTTGGCTGGTGCAGTGTCTGTGCCGTGTCTGCAGACAGCACTCAGCTGAGCTGCAAGATGAGCCAAAGGTGGAGGTGAATCTTGCTGTAGGGCTGTGTCCAAAGTTATATGGGGCATGGGAATAGAGGAAAAGCACTAGAGGAGAGTAATGGTAAAAAAGGGCTTTACTTTTTTCAATGCATTTGATCCCGTTTGGCTTCTCCTGGGCTCTCCCCTAAAGCTCTGTAGCCTCAGACTGACCAAAGTCTTGTGTTCATGTGCCTGAGTGAGACACAATGTCAAGGCCAGGTTGGATGGGTTGGAGCAGCTTGGTCTAGCGGAAGGTGTCCCTGCCCATGGCAGGGAGCTGGAACTGGATGGTCTTTAGTGTCTTCCAACCCAAACCACTCTGGGATTCTCTGTTGTCCATTTCAGGGTAGTTTATTGTATTAAGCCATTCAGTAAGTATTTTTTTTTAATCTTTCTCATGTTCTGATTAATGGCTTTACTGGATTAATTCCCCCCAGTAGAAAACTTTAAAATTATTTAACAACAAAGGCCCTGGACCATTAATCAAAATAATGTATTTGTGCTTATCAGTATTGATTACAAGTATTGTGTTGTTTATTGCCCAGGGAGGAGAGGGGCTGCCTTTGTCTTCTTTACCTGTGATTTATTCCCAATCAGTGTACATGCATGCTGTGATTCCAAGAGCTGGATAATGATCCCTTCCCTATGTGCTGTATAAATACATAAAGACAGCATTGTGTTTCTGAAGTGCCCAGCTCAGTGAGGCCTTTTCCTTTGGCCTCCAGCTGCGCTTACGTACATTTGCTAATGACAACTTTGTTTAATAAATCCCTGTTGGGGTTCCCTGTGTTTGCTCTCCCAGTCCTGACCTCACCTCTGGCCTTTTGATGCCCAACAGTCCCCCCTGGCCACGGCTCCTGCTGCAGCAGCCATCAGTTCAGAACCAACACTTCTGTTCTCATTTTCTGCTTTCTGTGTTGGTGCCAGTCCTGGGCACAACTTGGGAACTTCCAGGTGTTTCAGAGCCAGGTTCCTGAAGTGCACTGAGTCTTCCCAACTCTTTCACTGTGACAGCACCCACAAAGAGCCCTGTTTGAGGCAGCCTCTTTAGCACATTTTTCTTCACTGTATTCTGCGTTTTCAGCAAGCTGGGACACCCTTTGTTAAGATTCAGACTTTATGCACTGATTACTTTTCCTCTGCTACAGCTTAACTTCTCCTGCGTGGCTTAACTTTAAAACCAAGTGAAAGGAAATCCAATAAAGATAAATGAGATGTCTTTAAAGGATCCAGAAGGAAATGTGGGAGCGTCAGCAATGAATGTGAAGATACAGTGAGCTGAGAAACTTGGGGATGAAGGGTTCTTTATGAGGTTACATCTGTTCACAAAGGCTTGGAAGTATTTAAGATAAGTAATTGCTTTAGGAGCAACACTTCTTCAAACTCTCCTGGCTGTGATTCTCTGTGTTCCTGTCTGACCCAGGGCTGGTGATAATGGAGTGGTTTGCAGATGGTGCCAAGCAGTGTGCAGGAAGCTCTGACAGAGAACAGTTCAGTTTCCTGTGGAATTCCTCATGGAAAATATGTTTAATGTGCTTTTTGAACAACCAAATCTGTTTACCTTTCAGGTCTCCTGCTGCCAGTGATGACCCAAAGTTTCTGCTGTTCTGAAAGACAGGTAAGTCTCTGAACTATTTATTCAAAATATTTATCAAAAATATTTATTCACCCCAGTGGTGGGATGAGCAGTTGTACATTACCCAGGAATGGTCACCCTCAGATGTATTCCCTGTATTTTAAAGGAATTAATTCCTTGCAGAATTTGGGATTCACTGTTGGATTCAGTTTGGCTGCTTAGGTTCTCTTACACCAAGGGTGTCTGTGGGTGAAGAACGAGAGAGGTGTTTTTTCTTCCTCCCTGGATATTTGAAGCTCTGTGAACAAATGTCCATGGCTCACAAGTGCAGGAAACCATGTGGACAAACACTCAATTGGATGAATATTTGCATGAGTGGTGCTGTACCTGGGACACAAAGCAGTTTTATATCCCAGCTCGTTGCTGTTCCCTTTTCTGCATTGCTCCCATTGCCTGGCCGGGGGTGGCCTGAGCATCCCCTGAGTTGTTCAAAACAATCCTGGGTGTGTCTGGTCTGAAAATGTCTGAGCTTAGCTGAGGTTGAAGGGGAGTTCCCTGGGTGCTCAGTTCCCCAGAGCTGTGCTGGGAAAATCCAGGCACAGCTGAGACATTTACGGTGTCAGTGACTGCTGACCCTGGGTTGGCTCTGGACAAAACCTCTGTATTTGTGTCTGGACAGGGCTGGAGGAAGGGGCTGGTTTGCAGCAGTGCCAGGGCAGTGGCTGTGCCTGGGTTGGTGCAGAACTTTTAAAACAGTCAGGTAGAGCACTGCTGAGGATGGGATGGCTCCTCCTCTCTTTGGCTCTGCTGAGGGGCTGCAGTTCCCAGGGCGAAGGGTCACACTCCCAGACTTCCAGCTGGGGATGGGTGAGACATTCTCTGTTTCACCCCAAATTCACCAGATAGTGAGCTCTTCCAAGCTGGGAATGCAAGGTCAGCATTTTGATTGGGTGTTCCTTGATTGCTCCAAGGAACAGCCAGGCCATACCCCTGAGAGCCTTGTTTAAAGAGGAATATTCCCAATTTGCAGGCCAGCTGCCCTGGGAGCAGGCTGTGGGTGACCTTTGCAGGTCAGAGCAGGCTGGGGGTGACCTTTGCAGGTCAGAGCAGGCTGGGGGTGACCTTTGCAGGTCAGAGCAGGCTGGGGGTGACGTTTCAGGAGTGAGTCACCACGCTCAGGGTCCCCCGTGTTTGCTCTCCCGTGGCTCGAACAGCTTTGCTCCCTCCTGCTGGTTTGCAATTCCCTGTCCAAACTCCCTATAGATATCCCAAATGCCAGGACTTCTTCCTTTCTTTCTAAGCCTGTTCTACACTATCTGTTTAATAAGATCTGTGCTTGAGCTGTCATTCCTGATTACACGTTCCCCTCAGTTTATATTGCTTCTTCCCAGTGGTCACCAGCACAAATGTCTCTGTGAATCTTAATGCATTTTCTTTTCTCATAATGTATAAATGCCTGAAAACTGATCAAAACAACCATCCTACTTTGATTGTGTATTTTATTTCTGCTGAAAGGTTCAAATGTAATGAAAATAAAACGTTCAATGAGCAAACACAGATTTTCCAGAAGAAACAGGCACATTTAACTTGTTTTGAAAGATGGATGAACACTATTAGTTTTGATATATTCTATATATATCTCCTCACTTGACAATTGTTATTTAAAGATTCAGTTCTGGGTTATTGCTGCACTTACGTTGTAGAGTCGTTTTACACCAACGCGTGGATCAGTAACTTAATTATAAATCAGTGGGTTTAAGCCAAATGTAATGGAAATAATGTTTCCTTGCCCGGAGTCTGCTGAGCCTCAGATGTGGGGATGATCTGGTGGTGGAGGGGTTTTGGTCTGGGTTGTGCTGGGCTGTGGTTCAGGGCAGTGTCCTGTGAGTCCTGGTGGCAGTGCCTGTGCCAGCACGGGCCTTTCCTGGAGCTGTGGCTCTGCCACAGAAGTTCTAAAGAACATCTGCCTAAACTGGAGCAAAACAGAGAGCAAAATTAGAGGGAAGTTGTAAACGAGGCTGTATACAGAGCTGTTTATTTATACCCATGAAAACTTTGTTATTTATCTCTAATACCAAGAGCATCTGTGTTTAACAGATATTTTTTATCAACTGTGAGACTGTGTTTGTAACTTGTTAGCCCTTTGTGCCATGCCAAGGGATGTCTGTGTTTATTAACACAGAAAGAGGGGGCCCAAGCAGGAGCTGAAGGGACTGAGGTGGATGCTCTGACTCCATCCCCAGACCTTGTCTCCCTGCCAGCAGATCTGCACCCAGAAAAACCCCCCCGCCTCGCTGGGGCTGCTGCTGAGTAACACTCAGCACTAGTGAGGAGCCATAAATCTGGGTTTGGAGTTATCAAGCAGGGCCTCCAGGGCCTTGCTGAAACTCTTTTCCATTAAAATCCAATGAAAATGGACAATGGGAATCCCAGCTTCCTGGTGGTCCCAGACCAGAGGCAGCACATAAGGTGAGGGATGTACAGCACTGGGATTCCTTTGGTCCTCGTGCTCCTCCTCCCTTTGTCTTTGGCTCCTTGGTTGCCAGGTTATTAAATCCCAGGTGAGCTGGGAATGCCCTGCAGGGAGGAGGCAGAGGCTGATGTCTCTGCACCTGAAGGCAGGTGGTGCAGGGCTGTGCCAGGCACGTCCCAGGAGGTGACAACCTGGAGATGCAAAGCTTCAGTGAGGGTCCCCAAAGCCCTCCTGAGCTTGGGATGGAATGGAGGAAGGCTGGAGAGCTGCTGTGCACAGCAATTCTGAGGTGTCTCCTCTGGGAGAGTCAAAAAGGGGTGCTGGTATAAAATATTAGAGGATATTATTTTTACACTTCATTCTTTAGCAGACAAAGTGGTAGGTATTGTTCAGCCTGAGCCCCTTGATGCATATATTGTTAATATTCATTTTAAATCCTTTCGAAACCATCTTCAGAACGTCTATTAAAATATTTAATTGCAAGGTGCTTTTTTTTTTTGCTTCATCCCTCTCATGTACATTGTTCTTTAGAAAGTGAAGTGCTCGTGACTTTGACAGCCAGGGAGGGGAAGTGATCAAAGAGTGTGAGAGGGCAACAGCAGCAAATCCCTGGGAGCCCCACGCCGGGGAGGCTCACTTTGGTTTGCTGGGGGATTTGTAGGACTTGGGAAAGCAACTGATTGCCTGTAATTCAGAATTAGTAGCTGAAAGCTCCCAGTTCTCTTTCTCGACTGTGGTTGTGGATATCAGCACACCAGCAGGGGGGGAAGGAGAGGAAACATTCACTGCTCTGCAACCCGACAGATCCTCTGAGCTGCGAGTACCTGTCACTGACTGCTCGTGGGAAATAAATACTGGGTCACACTTGGGGCTTTCAGAATGTCCCCTCACACCTTTCTCCTAGTTTTCCTCTTTCCACACTCATTGGATTGATTCTAAAAGCTGTGGGTGCCCTTGCCTGGAGAACTGAAGAGGTTTAGGAAGCAAAGGGCCTGTGGGCGGTGGCAGAGGGAACTGGAGCAGCTCTGGAGTCAGGGACACTGTGCCACGGGAAGGATTGGGGGAGAATTGGAGGTGGGTGGGAAATCTGGGAGAGACTGACTATGGAATGGCAGAGGTGCTCCTGCAGGAAAGGAAGAAGCACAGGCAGCAGTTTGGGTGTGATGAACTCTGGAGGAGGGGACCACTGGAGATGCAGGGAGTTGAATCCCATGGGATGATGGTCCTTGGGATTAGAAAGGGCAGGTCCTGAGAGAGAAGCCACATACACAGAGCAGCTGAGCATCCTCTGGGGGAATCCATTCCATCCCCAGGGGAGGCAGGATAGAGCAAACACCATCAGGGCAGAACCAGGAGCTGCTTTGGACACGAACATCTGGAGGGGTACAAAAGCACTTGACAAGAACTGAAGGTGAAGGCACAGCACAGGCACATAATGGTAAAATCAAGAGCCTCAGGCAAAAAGTGTTGTTTGGTTTAGCAAGTGAGGTAAAAACCAGGAAGAAATAGTGCTACAAATACATTGGAAATAAGATCAGAGAGGGAATACAGATCTAGTGGCTGCTTAGAGAAGCACTTAAAATGCCTTGATAATATGGTTAATTTTGGCCAGAGGGTAGAATAAGGACCAGAACAGAGAACAAACAGACAAGAGTTTGTTTGGATCTGCTGTATAGGTCAGGCCACAGGATCTGAGGAAATTCTCCTTAGAATTAGAAAGAATTAATCAAAACTATTTGGGAACAAGGAACAATTATTTTTAATAGCTTGTTGAGCTCAGAGGTGGTCTCAGAACTATCAAAATGCAAATATAGATCCTAAATACAAAAGATAAAAGTACAGTCTAGTGTATTATTGATTAAAAAGCCTAATGAGTTCTTGGAAAGGCTCTGAAATTAATAATGAAAAAAAAATCAATCCATAACTCAGAAGAGGCAACTAAAATCAAAACAGAACAACCACTGTGGATTGGTCAAAAGTGAGTCAGATGAATCTAATTAACTGACCTGGTGGTAAGAAGAGAGCAAATAGTTATGATACACCTTTTTTGTCCAGGTAAGCCAGGGAGATGTGTCTCAGTGTAGATGCACAAAGAGCTGCTTGAGAAATTAATTTCAGTAGCAGCTGTCAGTGTTTGCCTGAAGATCTGGGAGAGCCTTTCCAGTGAGAGTCCCAGAGGGAAATGCCTTGCTCTCCAGTCTCTTTTCTCTATTTTAATTAGTGATTTGTAGGATGAAGATCTTATAAATGATATGGATGACACGGAGCAGGAGGGGATCACGGGAACTGTGAGGTCAGAGCTGAAATAAAAAGGAGAGATGGAGATGTGTCTGAAAAGCCCAGGCTGAACTGCAACGATGTGAAGTCTGAAGAGGTGAGGGGGAAAGACAGAAAGGACTCGGGGGTTTGGAGTGGCTGACAAATTAAGCATGAATCAAAAGTGCAAAGCTCTTGTCAAGGAGGGAAACTCCATCTGGAGTCAGGGGCAGGGAGACCCAGACCATTGTCCTGCTGTGCCCTCAGGATGGGCTCTGGGGGGGGAGCACTGAAACCCAGAGAGGTCTTCTGCTGCTCTGCCAGGGGGTTGCTTCAACTCAGGAGCAGTCTGAGTGAGGAGGTACCTATTTACCATCATTGGAAAATTTGTGACAAGGATTGGATTTACAAACTGATAAGGGAATCAGAAGGATTCTGCCTCTGATGATGTGCAGCATCAAAATGTGCTGCTGCAAACAGGCCCAACAAACCACAAGCAAAACCAGGGAATCAAAACAAAGCTAGTTATTGAAACCTCTTCATTAACTTTAACCTGCTATAACTAATAATTCCTTACAACCTTAACCTGTCTGTGGCTGCAGTTTTGCTCCGTTGCAAAGCAGAGCTGGTGGCTGCTGACACAATGTACAACCAGCAACAAACATTAGCATCTTGGCAGGGTGATATGGATTCATCCAGAAAATAAAAGGGGTGTCATTTGCACCATCTGCTGCAGATGGATCAGGAGAGGGGAGCAGCTGAGACCTGGAGGTGTCAATATTGAGATGCTGCTGGAGGGGAGCGGTGGCCAAGGGGCACAGAGGGGGTGGGCAGGCTGGGCCAGGAGCATTTCCCAGACATTTTCCTTCTGCCCTGCCTTTCTTCCTTTCCCTGTCTGAGAACCATTAGGGTGCAGTGGTGCTGTGGAAGGTGGAGATGTGGCTCTTCCCTCGGTGCAGCTCTGCAGTGCTTGGAGGGACACATCCCTTAATAAACTGATCAAACACACGTTTCCATCTGTGCTCCCAAAAGCTTTCCCCAGCCAAGCTGGCTGGAAATGTCTGTGCTTCCAGCCCAAGCCCAGCCAAGGCCAACTTATATTTACCCATTCTTAGGCAGTGTTGTCTCAGGATTCTTCTCCTGTCCCAGGGCTCATCCCTGGTGTGTTTGCAGAGAGCAAACACTCCCCCTGGAGCTGCCTTTCCTCTGGCTGAACAGCCAAGTCCTGTCATGCTCTGTGCTGTCTGTAAGGTACCAGCCTCGATCCTCTCAGCCTTATTTACATGGAATAAAACTTTCCTGCCCAGTTGGCACTTCTGATGCCAATGGGACAGTCCCAGGGAGAGGTCACTAATCAATAGGTCTGCTCCAAAGCCCCCGAGGTCAACAGGAATTTTATTTTTCCATCACTGAACTCTGGATGGAACCCAGCCAAGGTGGTGATGGGAGGAGCTGGATTTGGAGTTTATAAATGCAGTTCTCACTGACACTGAATTCGTGGGGGTGAGATTGAGCTGGGAGGAAACCAGATGAAGCTTTGGTGTTTTGGTAAGAGCTGCCCAGCTGAGTTTTGTGCAGGATCTGAAAAAAGTTACACCTGCAGATTCCCACAACCCCAGAGCAGCCCTTCTCACAAAAAAAAAAAATGTTTCAGGTGTAGCTGGCACCCTCACCTCGCTTGACCTGTGGGCAGTGTGGTGGTGGGGAGAGGCAGAGGGCTGACAACATCTGCTCTTCCTCTGCAGCTCGAGGAGTGATAGAAAATGAGCTGGAAAGCAGAGAGATGTTTCTCCAGCTCTGAGACACAAAGCCCAGAGCAGAGGGCCCTGTTTTTCCAGGGGAGCATCCACAGCAGTGGGGGCAGCCCTCGGCCTCCCTCATCCTCACCCTGGGCCATGGGAGCTTAGCCTCAGCACATCCTCCTTCCTGGAGAATCCTCCTTCTCTTTGACCCTCTGCAGAGCTGTCCTTCCTCTGCCAGTGTGGGAGAAGGGGTGTGTGAAACCTGGCAATTCATGAAACGCATGAAAAATGGGATTTCAGTCAGAAGACTGATGGAAACAACTTTTAAAGCCTGTTAAACCCTGGGTGCTGATGTTTGCAGCAGGAAGCTTCTGGCCTTGATGCTCTGAAGTGGCGCTTTCCTTCCTAAACACTGCCTTGTGTTTGTGTGTGGGAGCAGGGGGACAGAGAACTGACCCGAAAACCAAGGGGGGAAAAGCGATCTCGTGTGGAATGAAACGTTTTATTTGATTGAAACACTGAAGCCACGAGGTTTCTGATGGTGTTTGGCAGGAACCAGGTGCAGCCTCAGACACGGGGCCCAGCAGGACGAGCCCTCCTGTGCCAGTGCCTGTCCCTGTGCCCGTCCCCTGGAGACACTGAGCCCACCTTGGGACCTCCCTGTCTGCTCTGCCAGCCCTGGCCTGGGCTGTGCCACAGGAGCTGAGCAGCAACACCTGGATTTGCTGCAGGAAAGCACATGTGGCCTCAGTGGGTGCTGCCCTGGCTGCTGTGGGTGCTGAGCACCCCTGGACCCTGCAGTGTCCCACACTGCTCCCGAGGGAAGGGGCTTTGCAGGTGGGGAGGAACAGTCAGACTTTGTACCTCTGGAATAACCTGGGAATGACAGGAATTCTCTTGTATTTCCTGTTCAGACAGTTCCCTCTCCCTGACAGGGCCAGCAGGGCACACCAGGATGGGAAGCTGGTGCAATGTTTTCCCTGGTTCACTGAACCATTTAAAGCAGGTATTGACTTGGACATTATCATAAATTGGTTTATACAGTGACAGAGCTGGGCAGGGGGGCGGGTGATTGATGGGGAAGGGAATGGGGACTGCTCCACAGAAATCTGACATCCAGCACAGGGTTTGTTTTATTCAGTGCTGCTGGGGTTGATATTATTGGTCCTGTTTGTAGTTTCTCCCTGAGGGAGACTGAGGTGTGAGGAGATGTCCATGGAATGCTGGGGCTGGGAATGGGGCAGGGGCTGGGCTGGAGTGAGCTGCCTTCCTGAGAGCACTTCAGGACAGCAGGTGGGATTAAAAACATTTTGTAGAATCACAGAATATCCTGAGCTGGAAGGGACTCACAGGACCATCCAGTCCAACCCCTGGCCCTGCACAAACACCCCAACAATCCCCCCCTGTCCCTCAGAGCTCCTGGAGCTCTGGCAGCCTTGGGGCTGTGCCCACTGCCCTGGGGAGCCTGGGCAGTGCCAACCACCCTCTGGGGGAAGAACCTTTCCCTGAGATCCAACCTGAACTGAAGGTTAAACACCAGAGGGTCACTCTGCAGCTCCTGGCAGAGGACATGGGCAGCTGTGCTGGAGCATCCCAATGGTGCTTCCCAATTCCAGACCTTTAGACTTGCACTTCATTTAAAATTGGCCACGTGTTTTGATAAATGTGTCAAACACAGAAATGGGGAAGGGAGAAGTGAGTTGCCAATGTGACCTCCAGCTATTCCTGCCAGTACAAACATCACTTTTTTGTATCTTTTAAACCATCTTAGCACTTCAGCTAAGAAGTGCTTAAATTTATTTTTATGGATTTAATTTTTAAATGCTTTCACTTGGAAAAATTACTTTATGATTATTTTCTGTGAAATTTGCTTTTTTCATCTGTCCCATGGTATAAAAGTTGACTGCTTACTCAAGAGAAAACCACTTTGATGTCATGGAAGTAATGAACACTCTAAAGCCCCTAAATAAAGAGACTTCTGAAAACTTTCAGTTTTGTTCTCAAAATGGCTGATAATGTCATTTATTTTTCTTCATTCCTTTTTCACTGCTACGAAAAGTACAAAAAGAAAGGGGAGAGCAAACAATACCCTGGGAATAATAACTGAAATATTTTTATGGGAATTAATCTATCTCTGTTCCAAAAACGAGCAAGAAAAGCAGAAATAATTCTATGAAACCAGTAGGAAAAACTCACGTGTCTGTCCCTATCCCTCAGCTGTTGGTACTTGGCAAGGGATGGAGATCCCACATGTGGGATGAAAATGTACAAGTGTGATGAGTGTGTCATGAAGGAATACTAAAAGAGGGGAGATTTAGATGAGATATGAGGAAGAATTTCTTCCCTGTGAGGGTGGGGAGGCCCTGGCACAGGTTGCCCAGAGAAGCTGTGGCTGCCCCTGGATCCCTGGGGGTGTCCAAGGCCAGGTTGGATGGGGTTTGGAGCACTGGGATAGTGGCCACGGCTGTCGGGGCATTGGTGGGGTGTCAGCTCTGAGGGATGTTCTGGAGTGAGAAAGCTCAGGGTGGTGGTGTTGGGGCTGGAGAACTTCCTTACAACCTTCCCAGCTGACCTCTTGCAAATCAGGTTACAAAATTCTCCTGACTTCTCAAATTAGACTGTAATTCTCTTTGCCCAAGAATTTAAAGGGAATTGATAAAAAGATACCAAGAAACCAGAACCCACAGAGTTGCTTTAAAGTGGTTCCCATGGTACCTCCCCCTGCCTGGCAATAGCAAGTGCCTGTTTCTAGTCTGGGTTTAGTTGGTTTCTGGTCCCCTGGGCCTTGTTATGCTTTTTACTTTGATTTTCAAAGCTACCTCTCCTCAGAATCGCCTCTTCTGGATAGATTTTGGACTCAGCTTCCTCTTGGGTAAAGCGAGTGGACCGAGATTCTCAAGTCACAAATCTGGAATAATTTTGTGTAACTTGTTTCCTAAGTCTTTTTCTGTGCTCTCCCTTGGGATCGTCCCAGGGAATAACCCCCTGCATCCCCCCTGCATTTTTACAGACCCTTTGGAGTGGCCAAGGCCGGGAGGGGAAGGGTGGCCACTGTTCATTTCGTGTTCTGCAGCTGGAGGAGCAGGAAATGTGGAGAACAACTCACAGGGCTCTGACAGCTTTAGTTTCTTCCTCGCTGTGTTTTCCAGGAGGGATCTGTGTCTCCATGTGACTGCAGCTCTGGCTGCCTGTGCCCAGACTGCCAATGCTCAGGGAATGATGTTGCCTCTGTTCTGCAGCACTGACTCGGGAGGATCCCTGGGAAGCTCTTGGAATGTGGTTTATATGACCCTTGTGACTTGTGAGCTCGGTGCCAGACCTCTGGATAGAAGGGTCACTGGAGTGGTTCCTGCTGAAACCCCTCAGTCAGAGGGTGCTCAGGCAGGGGTAGGAAACACTCCAAGAAAAGCTGTAGTGGAGATGGGAATGATTGTGCTCACCATCAGTTCAGAGTGGAGCTGTTCTGTGAGCTGATGGAGAAAACCAGGAAAACCAGCACTGCTCCAGGTTGTGCTGGTGGTGGATGCAGCTGGAGCTGCTCTGGGGCTCCAAACAGTGTCTGGGTGTTTTAACAGGAGTTTTTTCCCAGTCTCTGCTGTGTTCCTGCTATTTTTTCCCCCAGCATTCCCTTGTTTCTCTGTTTCTTCCTTTCAGACTTGGATTCATTTTCCTTTCAGTTGTAGATTGCTGAAACTTTCCCTGGCTGTATTTGAGCAACCTTGAAATTTGGCTGAGCCTTGGTTTCCCTTTGGCTGCTCACCCTGGATCCCGTTGGTTGGGTTGGTTCTTCCAGCACAGCAGAACTGCTTTCCTCAATAAATGTAAGAGCCCACAGTCAGTTTTTGTTCCATTTCTTTTTACTCAAGCTGGACTGATTTGAAGTCTTGTAACAGCGTCTCTGCACACGTAGAGTTGACTTACAGAATGACAGAACCCATGAGGAGATGGGTTTTCCACATCCCTTGAAGTGTTCAAGGCCACAGTGGAAGGTGTCCCTGCCAGGGCAGGGGGTTGGAATGAGATGACCTTTAAGGTCCCTTCCAACCCAAACCCTTGTGTGATTCTATGAGGTTCTATCCCCTCTGCAGCTGGACCAGGCACAGTTCTGCCAGGCATTCTGTTCCACAGAGGAGTGTGTTCCTCTACAGACACAGGAGATATTTTTTTATCCCTCAAAAAGGAGATATTTTGCACAGTGAAGCTTTTGATGAGATTTTTAATTATTCTCCCAGGCCAGAAAACAACACAAGCCCATCTCTAGTGTGATACATTGTCATTGCTCTCCCAGTCACTAATCAAATGGGATCTACAATTAGGGATTTCTTGATGAGCTAGTAGAGGTGAAGCTGAATCCTGTGGGATGACAGGCCCAGTTTGGCACAGGAGCCCTTCCCTGTGGGTGAGGTGGCACAAGCAGGACACGTGTGAGTGTTGGGTCCCAGAGCAGGAACTCAGCAGTGAGGGCATTTCTCCTGTTCTCTGTCACGAGCTCCCCTGTGTTCTCATCATCTTTAATGTGCCTCTAATGCACTTTGATTTTATTGATACAGACCTAATGAACAGTGTGTGATTTGTGTGGAAGAAGAATCACCTCCATCCCTTTCCCTCTGCCTGAGTCAGCGCTGTGATGCCTCAGTGCCAGATCATTAACCCACTGCTGCAGATGCTGCAGAGGCACAGAACCAAAACTCATCACCTGCCCTGTGCCCCAGTTGAGCAGGGAGCAAGGGAGGGATGGAGGTGGGAGGGGGAGAAATCCACGGCTGGGGACAGAAATCCACGGCTGGGGACAGAAATCCACGGCTGGGGACAG